TGTGAACCTCCTTTACTCTCTGCACCTCCTCCCACTCTCTTTTACACTCTCTCTCTCCAGGGAAATGAATTAGTAATATTTATGATGAAGGCCTCTCAGAACGACTCCTCTTCTCTCTCTCCCTCTCCCTCTCTTCTCCCTCTCTCTCTCCCTCTCCTCCCGGCCGTCTCTCCGTCTCATCTCCCCGGTGTATAAAATGACACTGATCTTATCGGCTCTCCCTCTGTCGTCACCTGTCAGCTCATCCATCTCTGCAGCCATCAAACCACAGCCACACCGACGGCTGCCTCAACTTTTTATGTGCCACCGCTGGCAAGCCAAGGTTCTTCTGGAGCCACATAAAGAAGGGAACGAGACGCCGGCACCTGCCGCGCCATCTGGGAAAAGGTGGAGCGTCAGAGTCCGACTGTGCAAAGGTTTGCGTGGATCGGCAGCCGTGAGCGTCGGCTGACGGATAAAAGACGATATAAAAGACGGAAAAGGTAGAAGAAGGGAGGTTGGAAAATAAAGATGGACGCCATCATGGTTTTTGTTGATATATATTTAAGGTCAACGGAGAAAAGGCGCGGCAGGAAGTGACGACTGGGATAGGACAGTTCAGGACACGTGAGGATATTCCAGTGTTGTCGTCAGGCTGTGGTTTCTGAGAATTTTCTTTGGAACTCATAAATTCAAAATGTATAGCTGTTTGACACACTGCACTGAGGTCGCCCTCTGCTGGAGCTTAGAAGAAATGCTTTCGAGCAGCTGAGGCTTGACCTTCAAAATTAAACGCACGTGTGTGAAAACTGCAGCGCCCCCTATCTCCTTGATAACCCACTTATAAAAATGGTTATTATGGAGAAAACATTCCTGGTTCTGGTGGAAGGTGGTCGTCTTATTTTTAGGTTCCGCTTCAGCCTCTATTTCAATTTATCCCGTGGAGAATTCTGCTGCGAAGCACAGGCAGCCATAAATTATTCAGGAAGAGTAAACATGGAAAACACATGCCTGGATGAAACCACTACCAGGATTGAAGTGTGTGGAACTTTGAGTCAGTCCGACAACAGACGATACAAAGATCTGTGGTCCTGATGTTCCTCTGCTGCTCCACCTCAGCTGTGTCCTGCTCTGCTGCTCCACCTCAGCTGTGTCCTGCTCTGGAACTTTACAACAGGAAGTCTGAGCCATCACTGCTGTTTACCGACCACGTAGTCCACATGGCACCGCCATAATTAGGAGCTTAATCGGCCAAATAGTTAGTGTAAAATGTGATTGTGATAGAGAAGTCCCCTGAAGCTGTTGTTGTTGTTGTTGTTGTTGTTGTTGTTTTTTCTCAGGCGATGTCTGTTTGTGATGCATTCAAGGCCAGAGAAGCCGAAAAAACTAAATCTTAATCTGCTCCAGAATCTGACACGCTCTGATGAAAACCAGGCTCAGGGAGAAAACTGCAGGCCACTGAACATTAACGCCAACGCCGACACAACACAACACAACACAACGCTCCAATTATATAATTCACAGATAAAAACTTCAATTAATCTGCGGACGGTTCTTCAGCGAGAGGCTAAAACCCAACACTGCCTCCAAATATTTGTCATCATGAAAAGTTGAAGTCGCTTCACAAACGCTCATTTGATAGAGATGAAAAATGATAAAAAGTTAAGAACATCATCATCATCATCGCGTGTTCCGACCGTATTTGGAACGCGGCGTCTGCCGTTTCCTAATGAGACCCAAAGGAAACGAGTTTGTCCTCAAGAAATACATTTGTACTTTTTTTACTTGGGATTCACTCAAAAAACCAGGGCTGCACCAGCGTCTGCATTAGCGCCTCCTTTGGGTGTTGGAGCTCCCCTGACATGGTTCACACACACACACACACACACACACACAAACATGGTGAACTCCTGAGGGAGTAGAACCCGACTCTTCCTCTTGGTAATGTACAGTCGACGCTGGCTCACACTCTCCGCCGTGATCGTCTCCCTGCGGTGAACGCCACGGAGGAATAAGCGGCGTTGACCTTGGGCAGACGCGGGGGCCGGATTTGAGTGTGTCTTTTTTTTATTTTTTTTTTTATTTTACAAGCCTGGATGTGTAATTGAGTCGAGCAGCGGGCGGCTGGCTTTGATGCTGTGAACACAAGAGAACAGCAGTGTGTGTGTGTGTGTGTGTGTGTCAGAACATGAAGGAAAGAAAGGCCAAGAAAAGAGTGGATACACACACACACACACACACGCGAGGGAATATGAGTGATTCACACACACTCCAGGCTTAGGCTAACATTAATCAGTCAATATCAGGGTCAGGAC